TTACACGTCACCAAGCATCGGACGATCTTCCTACGTGCACTGCTCCCAGTAATAACCGGATACCCTGGGAAGACGACATATCGGACAACGAGGTGCGAACTTGTACCATTGGCTGTACTATGGCAGCCCCAGGAGCAGATGGAGTCACAGTTGAACTTCTTGAGGCCTGCTGGAAGACAATCGGACCGTATGTTACGCAGCTCTTTAAAGCTTGCATACGGCTCGGCACGCATCCATCTTGCTTCAAACTTGCAGAAGTGGTACTATTGGAAAAGCCAAATCGGGATCCAACTTCAATCAAAGGTTGGAGACCAATCGCTCTACTCTCGTGCCTAGGCAAAGGATTAGAAAGACTCCTGGCCAAGCGAATGGCACACCTCACTATCATTTACGATGTGGTGGGCCACCAACAATTCGGCGCGCTCCCAAAGCGATCTGCAACGGACCTGGTCTCCTGCCTAGTCCATGACGTGGAAGAAGCACGCTCCCAGGGATGGGCCTCGACATTCATGACCTTAGACGTCCAAGGAGCGTTCGATGCAGTGCTCCACAATCGCTTGGTTAGACGCATGCAAGCCCAGGGATGGCCAGACTCGATCCTCCGATGGACGACTTCATTCCTCACACATCGGAAGATACAAGTGCGTTTCTCCGGTGGGATCACCACACAGAAAGAGCTGTTCTGCGGAGTCCCCCAGGGATCACCAATTTCGCCATTACTATTCCCTCTGTACATGGCGGAGCCGATGCAAAGAGGCAACCCAGGATCGAGGTTTAGCTACGCCGACGATATTGGAATTCTGGGGTTTGGACGCACAGTTGCTGAATCTACCGGCGCTGCACAAAGAGAGGTAGACCATCTTCCCGAGTGGGCAGGGAAAAATGCTGTTGCCTTCGAAAAGCAAAAGTCTGAAGTCATCCAATTCCCAGGACGACGCCGAGAAGAAGCAGTTGGGGTTCACGTAAATGGAAATCTCATCGAGCCCGCTGATCACATTTGCTGGCTTGGCGTACATTTGGATCCGCGACTCAATTTCAAACACCACGTAACCACCTGGTGCGGCAAAGCGATGAAAGCTGCACAGCATATGCGCCGCTTCAACTCTACCTCTCGGAGAGCAGCCCCCGGGCCGTTAGTCGACGCAGTAGACATGTGCATTGTCTCTCTAGCAACTTTTGGATCTGATGTCTGGTGGCCAGGGTCCAAACGCCCGACCATTCGAGGAATAGTCACGTCCTCAACCTCCAACCTCTGCAGCATGATTGACAGAGCAAACCTGATGAGATTGCGGGCTGCACTGCCAGTGATGAGGACAACGCCAAACGTAGCCGTTCACAGAGAAGGAGGAATCCCGCCGGCAAAGGTCATACTTGAGGGAAACCGACTCCGACTTTCGGCAAGGCTTAAGACCCTTGATGATAGACACCCGTTGAGGATCCGCGCTTCCGTGTGCCCGAATGTCGGCACTCGAAAGTACAAAAAGACCGCCAAACTCTCTGCTAGACCAGAGATCCAAATGTCACGGTTACAGCGTGCTTATCGAGAGCTCCCGGAAGCAGAGGCCCCCGAGGCCCTGGCGCCGGTAGTCTACCCTAAAAAGTTAGGCTCAAGGCTGACGGAACGCAATGACTGCGTTCGATGGATCAATAACGTGACAGGAACGGACATCTGCGCATACTCAGATGGTTCATCGGAAGGACACGGACGCTCTGCCTGGGGTTTCGTTCTGAAAAAGGATGGGAAAGACATAGGCAGAGGAAGTGGCATCAAGCACGGGGGAGAGGTGCTGGATGCAGAGATAATAGGAGCAAGGAAGGCTCTAGAAGCCGCACTGGAGTTCTTGGATAACGGAAAGTCTAGGAAAGTAGGAGGGTCGCAGCAAATCTTCGTGTTTCTAGACAGCCAGCAGGCTGTAAGCGCACTAACGACGGGCTCATCCTCAACTAGCCTTGAAGATGTACGTAAATTCCGTGCGTCATCCAATAAGGCAAAAATATCAGTGAAATGGGTGCCAGGGCACGCAGGGATACAAGGGAACGAAGAGGCAGACGCCATGGCCCATGCCACCCTTCGAGAGCTACCTAGCCAGGAGACACCACCAGGATCATGTACTCTGGCATATCTTCGTGGTCTCATGAATCACCGGCGGCAAAAATTGCTGGAAGACTGGTGGATAGAGGCTTGTCCGCCTAAATACCGCCAACTCAACCTACAGGTTCGGCGACGCAAACCACCCGAACTAGCTCTCTCTAGGCACCTGCTCCGAGAATTAATTGCAGCCCGAACGGGTCACGGCAATTTTGCGGCATACAATCGCCGTTTTAATAACCTACACGCTCCCATGGAGTGCTCTTGCGGGAAGGAAACTACTCCAACCCACTTCATCCACTGTAGCCATCACGCACAAAAAACGCGTAGGCTCAGAAAGTCAATGTCCCACACTGACTTTATCAAAAAGCTTCTCGGGCCAAAGTGCCACGATAGCTTCAAAATATTTGCGGAGGAAAACGGTTGTTTTGATAGCCAGCCTGCCCACTCATCCACTGCTCTCAGCGGGGATCAGATAAACTTGTCATTGCCACAACGCATGACACGAAAGGGAACGAGGCGAGAAGTGCCGTTTCTCTGAGGAAATCTTTTATGTACTTGAATTTAGGGTTGAAGGATGGAGCTTCGATTTCGGAGTCAGAGTAGGTGGTGTCTTCTGAGTTATAATTTACCTTCTACTTTTTCTGTAGCGGGTCTCGCGGTTGGAATGAGTTGGGCCTGTAAGCAGTGATCCCCGCCGGCTCCACCAGTTTTGTACCTATAGTGGACCTAGAGCTTTAGCTTAGGACTTTAATATAATAAAAAAAAAAAACAATGTAAACTTCATGCTTCTGCACTACATTATTCACCGAGTAATGTAAGCGACGAGTTGTAGAGACGATCTGTCAAGTGGAGGAGTAGTCATTAAAGAATGACTCAAGTCATCGACAGAGTACTTTTCATTATACGAGGGAATGAGACACGTTTAGAATAGAGTAGATAATTGGAACACAGTTTGGTGGATTGGGACTTCTATAAGACCCAACTAATATCACTACAGTGGGACATCAATTCAATTCTGATTCATCTACGCCTTACATTTGTTGTGTAGTGTCTCTTATCAAATTATACAAGTAATCGGAGTACGTATATTTTAATATTATCTATCTACAGGTAAATTCCCCATATTGCAACTACGCTAGCCATACTGGACGTAGCTTATAAAACTTGATTCGGATCTTCATTTTGAGGTTGAGATTTACCGTGTATTTACTACTTGAGTCGCATATCTGACTACTATATGACACGCTCAGGTATCAATTTAATAACCTACACCAAACCGACACTACTCACGGCCCTGATTATGACCCAATAAGTAATTGGAACAGTAGCCTGCAACATAACACAATTAGGCTAGACATCGTTGATCAGGACCTAATCCAAACACCTCGTCATCCATGTGCAGCTGCAGCTGCACCGCGAGAAAAGTAGTTTTATTTTACCGGATTCGAACTAGCGATCTGCTGTCTCGAGTGGGATATTTGTTCAAGCTATCCTGACTCTACTTGGCAGGCCGGCCAAGACGATGTACCACCGCACCATACAACTATGGCCGTGTTTATAGTGTCGTCTGCACTCTCACAACCGAAGCCTTGGCACGCACAAAGCTCAATTCGTAAAAACTCCGTGCCAAAGTTCGGAATTTCACGCCCATCAAAGTTATATCTTTCCTTTGCATCATCTTGTAAATTTATCCAAATCCTTCTCACGTCCATCCCAAAGAACTGTATCCCAGATTTATGCGCCACACTTTGTTCCCTCCGTCGGGTGTTGATATCGGCGTGGGCGTGTATTTGGTGGTTAACTGAGGCCAGAGAAGGTCGAAGAGAGTTGTGGTCAATGAAGAGTGGTTTTACTAAGTCATACCTGTAAATTTCATGAGGTCTTGGTGTGGATCGATCTTTTTTTGATTCATTTAATGTGTATTCAGCTATCTAGCTATGGCACATGACCGGTGCTATGTATACATGTTGGTTGTGGATCGATCTAGTTGGGTGGGAGAAGTTGATTTTGTAGAGAGCCTTGGATCATTGTCTCGTGGGCCAACTTCTTCGGAATTGCGAAATTTGAATGAACCTGTCTCTGAGAAAATATTTCACTCCTATGTTCAATTTGGAAACCGCGGGCAGGTGTTCAGCTTTTACCCTCGTACGTCAAGTAATGTTTGTACGATAGTTATTATGGTTGATTGAATTGATTAATCGTGTGTTATTTCAAAAGGCGGTCAGTTATGGTTAAGATGGTACATGAATATTAAGCTACAGCCACAGAGGGTGGACCCAAACTGCGTGGTAACTCCTGATTGGTCAATAGTCATGGATGGTCGTCTCCTCCGATGTAACTGCCTCCAAGGGATTCGTACAAGCATTTGTATGCTAGAAAATTTTACCACAAAAACAGCAAGCTTATATCCGTCTCAAGCTGACGAAACAATCATACAAAGTTACGAAAGCTCACAGATGATAGTTAGAATCTGTGAAAACTGGACGTTGTGAGTCACTCAAGACGGACTCATTTTCAGAGGAAACCGCTGTTCTTGGGCTCGTTGCTATTTTTTAGCTTGAATACTCAGTAATTTCTGTTGGCCTCTCTGCTGTATTTAAGATATCAATTTTTGATACCATCAGTCTTTCTCACGATTGTAAAATTAGCAGATATAACCTTCCAAAGATAATACTTTGTCAGTCCCAATTGAAGGTCGCTAATATTCCTCATGCGATGCCTGGCTCAATTTATGTTTTAGCGCCCTTTGACCTGGAAACCTTTACACGTTCGCAATGCCATCCTTAGCGTTCCCATGACACTTCTAATTCGAGTCGCTATTGGTACTCCATTGATTAACATTTAGTCAAAAGATTAAAACCAACTGAACGCAATAGACTGGCCTTTCCCCACTTTCACATCCATAAACATGGTTCGCGCAAAGAAGATGGACGAAAAAAGAGGGACAACTCTTCAGATTGAGGTAGACAGCTTTGTGCGCACAAGAGATTCTGTAAGATCCCAATGCCTTAATTTATTCCTCGTTTCCAGACAATAAGCCGGCGCAAAATTTTAACTCGGCGCTCGTCTTTCTCCCGTGCCACATAGTTCCCCTAGAATGCGTCCGACGCGATCAGTATTCAAGATAGTCCCGCCAGTCAGTCACGTCTCACACCGCACGCTAGACGCGCTTTAAATTATGAGAAAACTGTATTCTACGTGATAAACATCTGTTTATCTATTTCCAATTTTCATTAACTACATCATCCACATCTGGGGACTTTCACTAACCCAATCGAAGGTTGTGACTGGTCTTCAAACTCTTCAAGACGCGATCCGAACCCTTTCTTCAGCATATATTAAACATACAAATGCTATTTTAGGTGAACACGGTGCTGGTCTTGACGTCGACGCGACTCTGGCTAAGCTGGGCGATAATCCACTTCTGACTCTCGGGGAAAAATCAGCACAGGAGAAGCTTCAGGTCGAAGCCGGGCCTATAAAGAAGGAACGTAAGAAAAGACAGCATGATCCCAATGCTCCTAAGCGACCTCTAACTCCATTCTTCCTGTACATGCAAACAGCCCGACCCATTATCGCCAATGATCTTGGATCAGTAACTGTTAAGGGAGCAGTCGGTGCTGAAGGTCAACGAAGATGGCAAACCATGGCTGAAGATGATAAACAGGTGAGCTCTTCTCATGATGACTATCTACTTTTTCAATAACACTCTCAGCTCTGGACCGATGCGTACAAAGACAATCTGCGCCTGTACCACGCCCGCATACATTCTTACAAAGCTGGGAATCTAAACGCCAAAGAAATGGATGACAACGAAGCAAGCCAATACGCTGCAGAACATGATATTAGTATTCCAGAAGCTATGACAGACGTTCAATTGCTTGGAGAAGCTACCGGTACTATACTTGCTGATGAAATAGAGCCAGAGAATGAGCCAGAACTCGAGCATGAATCTGAACCTGAGCCTGAACCTGAACCTGAGCCTGAGCCTGAGCCTGAAGATGAATCCACGCCACCCCAAAAGACACCAAAACCTAAATCCAGTCGCAAGTCAAAGCAAAAAACTACTGTTAATCCTACAGAGGCGCCAATTTTAGTTAACAGCCCAAGCAACGAATCAAAGATATCATCTGAAAAGGTAAAGAATCTAGAAAAGAAGCGGAAAAGAGGAAAGAAGACCCAAGACATCAACGACAATGAAGAAGCTAGCGTTGATGGTTTACGGACTGCTCCGAAACAGAGGAAGAAAAAGGCGAAAAATGAGTGAGTAGTATTACCAGATATAGGATGTGTATTTGAACGTACACACTGAGTCTGAAAGCATGAAGCGCCATAATCCAGTCATTAATCTTCGTCATTCCGTATCTAGTACGAGAATATAATATCAAGGTTCTGAATTTGCTTGTGTTGACAATAATTTTTCCCTCGGTCCGAAAGTTCAATATTAATATTCATCCAATAAACACGCACACTGACATTTTTGTAATCTATGATAACGTGACTAACCTTAACTGGATTGGATAAATTGTAGAAAAAATATGTCTAAACATTATCTATGTGATCAAAAATTTTGGTAAATCTCGTCGCATCCATCGCTCCAGCATCAGCTAGCAGCAGCAATCGGAGCAATTCCCCATGTGGGCCTGGGGCCTTATTCATGCCTTAGGCACACAAGTGGATACAGAGATTTTTTTTATCATTTAATGTGTATTCAGCTATGACACTGAACCGGTGCTATGTAAACATGTAGGTTGATTCTTTTGACGTTAGAGACGCTCATACTCTGGATTTCATTTGCAAATACCACTATGAGGTATGTTTGCTTACATAAACAGTCGACCCTTAGTTAGTACTCACCAATGGGAATTTCGAAGCCTTTGGTTAACCAAGCATGCCTTCGTCATCCATGCATACCAGCGCCGCGAGAAAAGTAGTTTTATTTTACCGGATTCGAACTAGCGATCTGCTGTCTCGAGTGGGATATTTGTTCAAGCTATCCTGACTCTACTTGGCAGGCCGGCCAAGACGATGTACCACCGCACCATCCAACCATGGCCTTGTTTATAGTGTCGCCTGCACTCCCGCAACCGGAGCCTTGCAACGCACAAAGCTCAATTTGTAAAAACTCCGTGCCCAAATTCAGAATTCCACGCCCGTCGAGACTGTATCCATCCTTCGCATCATCTTGTAAACTTGTCCTGAATCCTCTTACGTCCATCCCAAAGAACTGTCTCCCAGATTTGTGCGCCACGCTTTGCTTCCTCCGTCGGGTATAAATATCGGCGTGGGCGTGAATTTGGTGACCAGCTGAGGCCAGAGAAAGTCGACGAGAGGTGTAGTCATTGGGATGAGGATGTACTAGGCTGTACTTGTAGGCATGATGAAGCTTAGTTGAGAATCGGACTCTTTGGAAGTGAAAGATTGACGTAGTGGAGTAATTTGAAATTTTGCCTCGTGGGCCAACTTCTTTGATACTGTGAAATTTAACTGAACTTGGCTCTGGGAGAATATTTCACTCCCAGGTTCGTAGAGGACACCGCGTACAGGGACACAGGTTTTATCAACACTGAAGGGGCGTCGACACACAGATGTCCATATATTTTCATCCAAATCAGTCACCACTTCTGCATTAGCAACCTCATTCTCACTACCTGTGATATCACAGGGATTGACCCTGTCATACTAATAGCAGTGATGCACCTTTTTCCAAGTGAGATGAATCAACGTGGAAGTGACCTCAAAACTCAGTAAAGATTTGAATACTACATAAAATTTTATTCTAGTCTTCAGCGCCTATTTAAATGGGTTAATTATAGCATAGGTGGTCTAGAAGTTGGATACTTTTTAGTCCAGGGATCTCGTTTATTTTTACCGTCTATGGAGCTGTATATTTAGCTACAGCCCCGTTTCTGCGGGGACACGGTGACAAGAGTTATCAAAGATAATAGGCAAACCTCGAGGGGGCTGACAGCGCGCAAAACCTAGCGTAATACTGTGGCAAGATCTATATTAATTACAGTTCCAAAGTTGTTATTGGCTAATGCATACTGTGAGTTCCACCCCTAATACCAATATTTAGTGCCATTGATTTTCTTTCCATGAATTCATGCTGAATGTCCTTGGCGTCCTGTAAAAATACAAGACAAGGATTCTTATAAGCCTAACAATATAACTCCCGCTTTGCCTCCATATTAGAACTCATCTTATAACAATCTTCCTCATGAGTACTTGTTGGATGATGAGCTTGGAGATTGAGATCTTCAAGCAATCTACCACCGCTAAAAATTTGCAGGAAACCCATTTGTGAATGTTAGCCGTGCATGATTATAAAAATATTTGGGTGCGGAGCAGTACTGGTACTGAAATCAAGGCCAATTCTAATTTCATGGCAGCCACTCTGAACTTTCGCAGAGTACGGCTTGCGGAGAGCTCAATACTTAATTTGATTAAGTCACAGTTTGACTCTCCACATTCCCGCACCTATTTCTTTAGGTGCATAAGGAAGATTGTTAGGGCATGTTTCAATGACGTGTAATTGGTATATCATGGTGTTGGTAGTGAATTGGCTCGAGTTCGTTGTGCTGTCCTGCTTTTTGTAGAAAACCGTATACTTGATAAGAAAAGCCTCAAGTCCAGTGTTGGGGTAACTTTGACACTTACAACTTTTTGGTTGAGCGCTCTGTTGACGAAGACGTTATTTATAAGTATTTAGCTTTTGATAACTATCTGCGCCACAGTTCCCGTGATTTTGAGAAATGAAAGGCTATGACTTAATCGATTTAGATTTCTTTAATTATTTAATAAATTGGTCGGATGTGTAAGCAATTATATTTTAGTGGGCGACATCTCGCTTAGATCGCACAAGCCCTAACACTTGCCCGCAAACCAATTTGTGGACATCGAGACATATCAATTCCTTTCGTGACAATCAATTAACACCATACACCGACGAAATCTTCACGCCAACTTTAATCTACGATGGCTAAAATCTCGTTCGTTGCCTCAAATCCTAGTAAACTCACTGGACTCGGAGAAAGTGAAAGATATTGATGTGGTGGGCTAACGAAAACTAGGCGTGGTGCCCCAGGCGGTAAACTCAAGATGACACTCGGTCTTCCTGTGTACGTTTCAACCCACAGAATAATTCACTTGCTAGTTCCCATCCAAAGGAACAGCTAGATTTCACGGGGCAGAAAATATCGGAGGATTAAAAAGTAACAAACTAATTTTTATGTAATAGAGGCGCAGTTATGAATTGCTGCGACAACAGTGGAGCACGAAATCTTTACATCATCTCAGTTAAAGGCATTGGAGCAAGGTTAAATCGACTTCCAGCTGGTGGTGTTGGAGACATGGTGATGGCCACAGTCAAAAAAGGAAAGCCCGAGTTACGGAAGAAGGTCATGCCAGCTGTTATAGTTCGCCAAAGCAAACCATGGAGACGTACCGATGGAGTCTTCTTGTACTTTGAGGATAACGCCGGTGTGGTTAGTCACAAAATTACAGAAAAATCTGGGCCTATCGCTCAGAATAGGATAAAGAATAAGACACTGACTAACGTGGTATAGATCGTTAATCCAAAAGGAGAAATGAAAGGATCTGCTATTACAGGACCGGTAGGAAAGGAAGCAGCTGAACTCTGGCCGGTAAGTTATGGAAGTTCCCCTCACAAAGATCAAGATCGTTTTTAACAGCATATAGCGTATTGCCAGTAATTCTGGTGTTGTGATGTGAGAGGAGAGCATGGTTAGAATTTCGATCCATTTCCAAGTCATGTTGATTGAGATTGAGCTATGCCAAGTCTTTCGGCTCTTCATTGATGTGTTTTTAAGACAATAACTATGGCGACCCCTCAAGACCATCAATGGTACACCGCTGCTTTGGAACTAATTCAGTTCAAGTTTCACTATGAAAGAGCTAGGTGAATACTTTTGTTGAAATACTGGCACCTTTGAGTTCTAATTTATAATTCCCTCTTTGGACTTTTTAAGTACTCTACAGAACCGCTTAATATATGTCTCGATTACATCGTTATAGGCTTCAAACACTGCCAATGAGAAATTGTAGAATGAATTCTAAGAAGATGACAGTTTTAAAGTCAACCCTACGAGCTAGCAATTCTTACTCGGAAAATTATCCATTAGCCCATCTCCAACAACAACAACAGTGTTATATTAACTAGGCTATATGGGAGCAGGACGAAGGATACCCTTGCGGAAGTCATGCTCACAGAAGGTCTCTATAATCCCTGTCGCGTGTGTTCTCGTGATATGTAAGACTTGACACTATATTCTCGTATAAAGGAATCTTAGTTACGGTGAATGGACGGAGGTTGAGACCTCCTTATATCTTGCTCCAGACTTACTGTGTTGTTCATAGCCTAGTGCTAGAACATTCCCTTATGATATCTTTTCTCTCCTACGAGAAATGACCAGCTCGTTCTCTCTCAGTCCACCAGTCTCTCGCTGATTCCATTATCTCTTTTCTATCGAGTTCTAGTTTGGTCCATAATACCCACACATGCATTACACACTAAACACAGGTGGACGTAGGCTGAACACCTGTCAGTGGTGTCCTCTTCGAACCTGGGAGTGGAATATTCTCCCAGAGCCGAGATTCAGTCACGACAAAGGGTGGGATGAATTTTTTTTGATGGGTTCTCGACTTGAAGGAATTGCACTCGATATTTTGGTCGAAAAATCAGTCGGCGGAGATTTCACAGCCGGAACAAAGTTGAATAAAAACTCATCACCACTAACATACAATTCATGAATGGATTTAGGTCTGTCTGGGGGTCGTATTCAAACATCCGACATCTCTCAAACTCCTTATATATTTGCGACGAAGCATTTCTCACTGGATCCTACACCTGCGACCCACTTCCATACTCGTCACATCACCTACCTACACACGCCCTAATGAGGAATGTCATGATGGAACAGGACGTGTTCAAAGGAGGAAGAGGGAGGATACACCGAGGGGATCACACAAATCCCCAATGACGAAAACAACCCAACGTTACGTTACGAAGGTTTAAGGCTAGAGCAACGATGAGATCTTGGACGGCATTTATATTCCGGAGTCAATGAGGATTTCAAGGGTTCGGACACGTGGTGGCCGAGGCTGAGGAAGAATTTGCGCTACGGCGTGTATACAGCGGGTTTCTGGATGGTTGGACTTGGCATGATTCAACACAAAGGTAAAGTCTGAGGTGGTCCGGTCATTGAAAGTAGGACGAGGTATATCTGTACTTTACGGTAGTTAACCTGATCCGGCCCAACCCCACTCGTGCTTAAGCTCCAATAGGAGTGCAACGGTAGTCATGTAACCTAGCACGTTGATGAACAAAACCAACCAAACAAAACAAAACACACTAAACACCCCGCGGTTTAGTTCCACATCACGTGCATCTGCTATGACGTGACCTAAAGCATGTAACATGGTAGGTTGCATGGATAACACAATTAACAGCGACATTCTCCCTCTATATTCTTCTGGAATTTGATGTTCGTAATTCTGAATCACAATTTTAAATGACTTTAGCTACGTAGGTGCATGTACCGTAACCTGGTTACCACAAAACTTATAAAAAACCTTCGTAAGTACTTTTTTCTGGTCATCCGCGCGAACTCCTACCCACTGCCGCTTGTTCAAGCTGTAAAAGAAGATGATTCATCTATGACAGTCTTCGCTGCCTTGGTATGCTTATTCAAAATCTTGGTCTCTCTATATATCGACTAACTGTCAGAGGTCCAGAATTTACTTCCGTGTCAGCATTGACTCGTCACAATTAAGAATAGACACATTGTTGAGCTGCCTGACTTTCTAATCAGCGGACAAGATAGAAACCATCTGTGATGGCTAGCGCACCCAAAGAGCAAGTATTTGCAGAGCTCTACCTCGCGAAAACTGATTAACGTTTTTGATACCCACTCAGTGCACTCTAGATATCGCCGGATCAATTGATGTTGATGTACCGCAGGGCAAGTCCAGAATAAAATCAGTTAAATATAGTAATCACGAGGAAGAATAATTCGAACATCTTTCTGTACATACAAGAGATTGTAATTAACGACACCAATCATAACCGTCTCTGTTGCTAAGCAACCGTATCCAATTTGAACCTTTGGTAGTTCCTATGTATGAATAGACCTCAATTTCCATCTCTACCTGTTATGATTGGTATATGACTGGGGAATGTACACTTGCGCTGGAAATGCTAAGATAGTTTGTTGAGAGAAGTCTTCATTCATGGGCAGAAGTAAGGTTAATTATTGTGATAAAGATTGGGGAAAGCTCGTGCCTTATCACCTGGCTTGGAGGGCAAGACTGAACACCTGTACGCGGTGTCCTCTACGAACCTGGGAGTGAAATATTCTCCCAGAGCCAAGTTCAGTTAAATTTCACAGTATCAAAGAAGTTGGCCCACGAGGCAAAATTTCAAATTACTCCACTACGTCAATCTTTCACTTCCAAAGAGTCCGATTCTCAACTAAGCTTCATCATGCCTACAAGTACAGCCTAGTACATCCTCATCCCAATGACTACACCTCTCGTCGACTTTCTCTGGCCTCAGCTGGTCACCAAATTCACGCCCACGCCGATATTTATACCCGACGGAGGAAGCAAAGCGTGGCGCACAAATCTGGGAGACAGTTCTTTGGGATGGACGTGAGAGAGATTAGTACAAGTTTATAAGATGATGCAAAGGAAGAATATAACCTCGAATGGCGTGAAATTCTGAATTTCGGCAACAGTTTTACGAATTCAGCTTTATGCTCGCCAAGACTTCGCTTGCGAGAGTGCAGCTGACATTATAAAAACAAGCTAACGATGGAAGGTGTTGTGGTCCGCCTCCTGGTGGTGTTCTCCGGTAAAGTTTGAGTAGCCTGCGTACCTAATTCACTCGGGAAGGAGACATCTCAGATCATATTTCGCGCGGAGAAAAGTTGAAAGATGATGAAAGCGTGTCTGGACAACTCGGGGTTTTCGAAAAGTTCCCCTGAGTGGGTATTCACGGATGAGTGTTGACGTGTGGTGAAGAAAAAGCCACCATAACTTCGCAGTGGTACTTGCAAATGAAACCTGAGGCATGAGTGCTCTTCCTTAACGGTGAATCATCAATTCTGTACTTTTCTTTGGTATTGTGTAATAGCTAGTTAGCTGCATACGCAATTAAAATCTGATTCAAAAAATAAAAAAATAAAAATAACAGGAACCTTTTTCTGGCCCTGCGAAGCAACCTCAAACATCCAGCCGACCCTTTTCGATTTTTCTCCAACACAATCAGCATTGTATTCTTGGGAAGTCTAGCTCATAAAGTTAGAGCATCAAATCACTTTCTTCTTATACAGGAATGTACGAACAATTTTTGTCACCATTCTCTAGAATGTCTTCCATACTCTACCCAAATTTCATCTGCCAATAAAACTGACGACCAGTCTTCATATATCCAATTGAGACGTGCATTGGCCCATTCTCTGCGTGTCTTCATATTTTTTTGAGATGCCCGAATCTTTAGATAAGCTACATGTTATTGATATTTTCTTTCATTAAGTTCTCTTTGTATTACCCGCTCGCTAACACCAAGATGTCTAAAGGGGCCAGAGGCGAGTTCCAGAAATGTTTTGCGGCGGTTTTCAGGTGAAGACTCAACGTAAGATATTATCTGATCAACATCATCTGCTTTCAGCCTTGAGGATGTTATTTTTCTCTTTTTGGGGGAGACAGTTCCGCGGTGCAGTGAATAACTAACTTTTCCCTGATAGGTACCTAGTTGCACGGCAATCTGCGTATGGTTTTTGCCAGATTCATGGAGCCCATAAATCTTATAATTTCTTTCAATTTCAATTCGTTCATATTTAATTTTTCTACATACTGAATTATTTTGGTCTCTGGATAATTGTTTGATTCGAGGTGTTGAAGGTGGGGTTTAAGGTGGATTCATCTGCAAAATAAGGTTCATATCGTGTGAAGCTATGTATCTGCTGAATAAACAACTTTGCATTTGAGCAATCTAATTCTTGTTGTCAGTCAAGCACAAGATGAGAAGAGCCGTGTCATTTTTTTGACGGTCGGCGGTCATAAAAGTAATGGCAGAGAACTAGAGAACAAGTTGTACTTGCATGAAACTGAGGGTGACATGATATCAAACTGAGCACTTCGTTTAGCCCTTAAGAGACAGGACAATAATTATGTACCCTGTCGAAATGGGCGCTAACAGGGGTGCAACCCCTGAAGCGAATATACACCCAATTTAGATTCACCAAAAACTTCAAATCGTAGAACCATGCTGCGAAGGTGTCCTCATTGTAGTGAACAAGTTGATGCTAGTGTGTAGCAATCAGGAGGCCATAGTGACCAGACTCTAATGAGCTATCTTAGCTGGTGCACAGTTATTCCCTCATGATGTGTGCAGTTATGGACTCAGATTTTTATAACACAGAATAGGGATACAGTTTTCCAGACATTACTGTCCTTTTGAACTTTACATTCATTGACACGAAAATGGGTAGGATCAATAGCAAAGCTCAACAATGTGATCACGGATAGTGCTGTCATTACAATAGTTTACGACAAACAATTGTTACACGGATTTCAAGTCAAGTAAAGAGAAGTAGATCATTTCATGGATAAAGATACATATCATTGACATTGTGAACTAACTAATGTAAAATATTTATCTGTTGAGATTCATGAAAATGAGTAATGTAGATATATTGCAATTCAGAAAAAATGATACCACAACAACCTTAGCCATGTCTCATTGATTCAAATAAATGTTAATTTAAAGTTAAATATCTCGATCTAGCCAACATTTAGAGCATAAATGTTCCTCTTCTTGAGACTCGGTAGGTAATCCACGATTTAACCGAGTACAAAATGGTGTTATTTCTACCTAACGGCCATTTCTCGTACTAAATTTCTGCGAGTAAATGCTCAAATGGTGGTCTGATACCGACATGCTATGAAGGTTGGATTCATGATTCTTCCATCTAAAAGTGAACGGCTTGTCAGCAAAGCCCTAGCAAGAAAAATCAATACTTTCATGCGGTCATAAATATATCTTACCTGTTATGTCTTCGATAGTTTCGTCAAAAGCCATGATCATTCTCCTGTACATTGAACCACGATCTTCAGGTGTTGCGAAAAATTTTCCATTTTTAAACAGAATTTTTGCTAAGCTCTTTACTAGCTCCTTAAGTTCCACGAAACTGGGCGTGAACTTATCGAGAAGCATTTCAAGATCTAAAAGATCAGTAAGTTTAGCCGAGTAGCAAGCCTTAATTCCACCATCACACCAATTATCCAGATTTGGAGGCTTCCCCTCAGTTACAAATTCGTACTCTATGCATCCTGCGAGAAACACATAGAAGAATGATTCTAGATCATGACGATAAGTTCGTCGGATCAATGGCTTTGAATGTGCAGCGTATTTTAATCTTTCAATTGCCATGAACTTCATGGCGCCTGTTAAGAACAGTTCTTCATCTACAGCGATGTTTCCTTTCATCTTCACGGAATAACCAAAGTCAATCAGCATACCATGGGAATCATCATCTGTAGTTGGATCTTTCAGGATGATGTTCCCTGCCGAGATATCTCCATGTAGGATACTTATATCGACAAGCCCCTGGTGAGCCTTGATCGCATCTCTGATTCCGGCTACAAAAGCAAAGATTGACCCGCTCGAGTCAATTTTTCTGCCGCCTGATGTCATTACAGTCCTGGAGAGAAAACAATTCCTCTTCAAGGGCGATAGGGTCGATTCATGGTAATTAGAGCAGCGGAACTTAGTATTGTCTTCAGCCTTCAAATCCCAGGGCTTCGAGCAGGAAATATTGAAGCTTTCAAGTTGTCTATTAGTCTGATGTACAAACTGTGATGTTATAAATTTCACGACACCTGGTACTGGGAGTGCGTCCTTCAAAAATTGATCTTCAGCATTATCTTCAGACTTGCTCCACGAGGGCTCAATCATCGATGATTTGTTCTTCGTTTCATAGCAGGCTGTGGCTCGATTGATTTGGCTCCTTAGTTGCAAGACATGATTGGGTTTGATCTCTACTAATTGGTCTGACGTATCATTACTCCCTGTGAAACTTGCTGTGGGTTGTCCATTTTTTCGCAGGACTGACATGTCACGACCAAGTTCCTCATCGCTCATCAACAAATACGAGCATAATGCTCGCACGAAAATCCCCTTCCTATCTATTATACTCTTTCTGCCCGAGCTATGAGCACCCGAGCGATCGAAAATCCAGAGTTCAAATCCTTCTTTAAACATCAGAAACCCGTGCATAAACCGTCGCAGGGGCTGAGTGTAGTATACTTCACGGGTATATCTCGATAGCTGTAGAAATTTTTCCTTTCTTATAGCTTCACTGGGTGATCTTGTGAGCCCACCCACCACATTCACGTTTTCCCAATTTGCATCATCATTCTGAAAGTCAATACTTTTAATCAGAAAATCAATCTGAGTAGTACCCGTAGACTCCTGAGCACGTTGCGTCCTATTTGTGCGACAATATCGCCCTCGCAGAAGGGAGCCCTTATCTTCGATGACTATGGGGTGTTTTGTTGATCTTGTTGTGCGACCTTTGAGCTGACTTAGGAAATTCTCCTCAAAGAAGGTGAGCCAGTCCCATATCTCACTTTCAGTCATGCCTTCTTCAAGGATTTTCTCTTCCTTGTCTCTATGGAGACATTTCTGTTCCTCGACACCTTTTGCGGTTTTTTTTCCTTTTAGCTCCTTCGATCTTTTATTCTTCTCAGCAATCTCATACTTTTCATAGCTTTCCCATATACGAGAAGCCTGATCGGTCCAATCCTTTTCTTCAAAGAAACAGTCCCAGAAGTTTGGGATATCGCAGAATACGTTATCTTGTAGGTTTTTCTGCAAATACATTTCCAAGTTCTGGGCCGTTATGTCAATATTGGACCCCTCCATATGATTTCTACGGATAGTTATCAAACTATTCTTTGGTTCTACTGTTGACTGTAATAGAAACTTCGTTCCTAGATCAATGGCCAATGACAAGATATTCTCCTTATTTTTATTATTAAGAATGTCATTAACAAGTTGGTCAAATAAAATGAGATTTTCTGTTATCATGATGTCGGCTGAGATGGTATGAAACAAGTCAAAAAGTTCATCCATATTTTTTTTTCTTGTATTGGGACAGTGTAAATACTTAGACTCTGATACAGTTTATTAAGAACTAATCTGTTAGCTGAAAGTACGAGAGCTTGGAATTGAAATTTACCCAGCTGAGAGCTAGCGCCTTTGCTGTGCTTTTTTCTGCATTTCTGGAGAATATAATCAATCGAATTGTTCTCTTTATACTTGAAAATTTCTTGGAACTTAGGCATCATGTAAAGTGTGTTGAGAAGGATGGGTGCAGTGGTAAAGTGTGAGACAAGTGGATGACTGGTAGAATGTTACAACAATAATGAGGGAGGCGATTGTGTAATGATGAGATATTGAGAAAGTGTAGTCACGAGAGTAAGATAATGCAGATTGTTGGTTATAATTACCAGGTTCTTGGATTTGAATACAAAGGTACAGTGCCCCTGGATTGGAAAAGGTATAACTTCAAACTGGGTTGTTTAAGGGATTAGCCCTGTAGGCGCAGCTGAGCTAGCTCGCAATAGGTTAGAAAATCTCTCCCCCCTACCCCGCTTGCCATGAAGTATGGTCCAATTGTCTTCTTCTAACAATTGCTTAGAGAAACACATTTTCAACTCAGTCCCCAACACATACACGCTACACACCCAATTTTTTCACACCCCAAGTGACGAAATCATATACCATCTACAACCTGTTATAGTCATAAATATTTTCACCTACTCATGCTGCCCCAGTCCTCTGCAGAGGCTGGCTCTTGGCCCCCTCTCCCACCCGTAAACTCGACGCATCCTGACGTCGAAATGGTCCTCACAGGGCCACCCAACCATCCCCATACTACACAAACAAACGCAGAGCCCATCTGCGTGGCGAGCTACCAATACTCGCCCCCAAACCAAACCGAGTCATTAGTTGTCACAATGACTAACTTCCTTGCAGATGAAGCGAGGGCCTATAATATACGCTTCGCAGAGGGTGAGCGTATCCTCAGCGGGTACATTAACCTTCTGGCGGGTACAACCAATAAACAGCTCCAACGAGCTGTCGAAAAGAATGGAGAGGCCTTACAGGCTATAATTACAGACATCCTGTGTGGTAACCCCCAGCCCCAATTCAGTGGGCCATTAGAAGCTGCCAGTAGCAGCAAGACTACAACTCTTCCGGCACAAGCTACTAAGTCAATGGGAAAGAATAACGCGAGCACTCCACGACCAGTGCAAATCCTCGCCAGAGAAAGTAGCAGCTAGGCGAAAGGCAAAGAGCCGGCCTCAAAGCCTACTAGGTAAGTCGAAGGCGACGATCCCAATAACACCAACACCACTGAGAGATCCTGGACTCAGATGGTCAGGAAAGGCCAAAGTGTTGTAAAGGTAAGAGCTTACGGAGGTTAATTGGCAGAAGGTTTACAAGTGATTATTGATGAATCAATATGAACTGCTGATATATTTGATATTCAGAACTATGAGGATTTAGGAGGTAGAAAGCGCCAATTATATACATATCTGAGGTAGCCAGACTCTTGCCTTATTTACCCAAAACAGTACCACGGAATATTCTAGTCTCCTCCATCTGGCAGTACAATCTAGAGACACCTTCTATACAGTGCTCCATTGTTCCTCTACTCATCATGGAGCCACCTGGAAAGTTCTTCCTCCACCCTCAGTGATCACTACCCTTGTGCATCGTAATCCTAGCCATCACCAGCACAACACAAAGCCTGTACAGCCAGTGGCATCAACATCGACAATAGTCAATGGGTCCCAGTCAAAAGCAACTGGGCCTTCACAAGCGCCTAAGCCAAGTAACCCCGCTTCCAAGCCGGCCCGCCCAGACGAACGTGTATTCCTGCGTGTCAAGCCCGACCACCCGTGGAGATGCATGTCTCCTCACTACATAAAAGTAAGCCTCGCAAGCAAGCTTTGCTTGGTTAACTCTGCAATCAAGCAGGTCACTGTCGTCAACTCAGGGTTCGCGATACAAGCTGAGGGAGATACAGCAAGAAACGCGCTCCTCTCGGGTGCCGTGCCCTTGGAGAGCACGGAAATGAAACTGGAAGCTGCTTTCAACTGGATCTCTGTGCTAGCTCCAAATGTATTGACAGGCTCTAAACTCTAGAGGGACCAACGCCAGTCACACCAGAGATGGTGATGGAAGAAGCGACTTTAAAGACGGGCGTTAGACTGACCTCGGCTCGTGCGTTCGCGACAAGCATGGCAAGGTCATCAACCAACTGGGTGCTGCATTTTGCAACTGGTAAGCCAAAACTGGGTGAGCGACTTTTCGAAGAGAGTGGTTGCCTACACGAGCTCCAGCGCAAGGCCAAAATTGCGCAATGCAACCGATGCTGGGGACATCACCCAACAAAGATTTGCTCACGAGCGGAGCGATACTCACGATGTGGATCGATCGAGCATAAAGCATCTGTCTGTAAGCAGACCATCCCAAGGTGCATGAACTGCCATGGGCCACATGCAGCCATCGAACCTCACTGCATGGCTAGACCAACCCGGGTTGGCGGTAAAACTGTGCAGCAAACTAAAGACTAGTTATCGATTATACGTGAGCAAGGTCAGAAGGAACGGAATGCTTCAATCCGAGAGATGGAAGCAAAGCAGAAAGCCGCCGAGGCGACTGCCGACAACGTAACTACAAACGAAACTCAATGCCCGTAAGGGACCACAACCTTACCGAGCTCCACACCACGGCAACCACAATCTCGTTCCTCTGTGCTTATTTGGGCAGAGGAGACCCCGCTACAGACATCATCCTGCAATCCGCTTGGGATTCAGGAACCGATGTCCTACTTATCCAGGAACCCTGGACCCAACAAAAGGACGGCTTTTGGCTCACCAAGTCGCATCCCGGATTTGATGGGCATCTGCCTCCCCGTGTTGCTGACAACTCTTCAAGGCCACGCTCCCTCATCTACACGCGAAAAGGGATCAAGTGCCAACAGCAAGCAATCTGCGAGACATCACCGGATATCACCGCAGTAAAGGCAGAAGGAGTCTCATTTGTCTCTGTCTACCGCGCTCCTGGAGCAGATCTTTTGCCACTACTATCATGGGCTCCATCTGGGCTTACAGTCATTAGCGGAGATTTTAATGCCGTTCACACCGACTGGCAGCCAATGGCCACTAGGCTACACGGCGACAGCCAGGTGCTCACCGAGTGGATGTTAGAGCACGGTATGAACCTATCTTCAGCACTGGGCGTCCCGACACACGGTCTCGGAAACACACTCGATCTAGTTTGGTCTAGCGCTGGCGCACTTGCAGATGTTTTGGTAGGGCTTGACTCGACATCGGATCACAGAACTCTTGCAGGAGACGTTCCTCGTCCAAACTCGAAAGCCAGAGCTATAATCAAAACTGGTCAATTGTTCCGAGTGACAGACGACGCCCTCGAAGACTTTGTCAAAGTGCTTGGTAGATGGGCTCATGGAATAGGGCGACAGCCAATGGATTCAACAAGCGCGGTAGACAACCTTGCAGATAAGCTGGTTCAAACCATTAGCAATGCAATCGGGGCTACTGGAAGACGCGGGAGTGCTAAGGAGGGTAGGACGGCACCTTGGTGGACGTTAGAGTGCTCACAGGCTATACGCAAATATAGGACATTCAGGGACGAAGAGATCAGAAAGGATTTCCGTCGCATAGTCAGAAGTGCGAAGCGCCAGTACTAGCAGCGGGAGTTCTCCGAAGCCACAACTGACATCGATATGTTTCAGATAGCATGCTGGGCAAAGCCGCGACTTACATCCGCTGCTCCACCACTTCAAACTCCCGACAGTTTTGTTTCGGATCCAGGAAAGCGTGCACTTCTATTGTGCGATCTCCTTCTCGGCCGGTTCACCAGCCAAAACAAAGTCGAGGCTGAGAACCTCGAGCCAAGACTCGGAAACCTCCCATGGGTCCCAAGCGTCACGGACGAAGAAGCCCGGTGGGTCACAACAGCCTGCCAAAATAAAGCTCCCGAAGTAGACGCAACTTCTGTGCGGCTTCTTAGGATAGCCTGGCCGTCAATTGGTCACGCAGTGAGAGTACTCTTTGAGGGCTCACTTCGACTGAACCACTTCCCGAAGGCATTCAAGCTAGCTGAAGTGATTCTCCTCCCCAAGCCTGGCCGTAATCTCAGTACAGCTAAAGGATGGGGACCTATCGCACTGCTATCCTCTCTTGGCAACGGTCTTGAGAGACTAGTTGCAAGGCGTATGGCATACACCGCCATTTCGTACAAGGCCATGCCGCAGCAGCTTTTTGGAGCACTCTCTGGCAGATCCGCTAATGACCTCGTCTCATGCGTCATCCATGATGTGGAGTATGCAATGAAAAGGCAGAAGAAAGCAGTTCTTGTCACTCTGGACGTACAGGGTGCATTTGACGCTGTACTACACAGAAGGCTGCTGCAGAGGATGAACAAAGTTGGGTGGCCGAAATCAGCCATTACTTGGATAAAGTCTTTCCTGAAAGAACGATCTGCCTGCGTCAGACATGAGGACGGAGTAAAAGACCCAATTCACCTAGAATGCGGGCTGCCACAAGGATCGCCTTTATCCCCAATTCTCTTCCTCCTCTATATGGCCGAAGTCGTGGGGGGCAGTAGTTGGAGATTTGGCTATGCAGATGATGTTGCTATCCTCGGCATAGGTTTGACTCCAAACGAAGACGCAGCAGCTGTCCAGAGAGAAGTTGATGCAGTCCTAGGGTGGGCTGCTGAAAATGCCGTCTCCTTCGACCCAGACAAGGCCGAAATAGTCTACTTCGTCGGCTCCAGATCCAGGGGACACGATCTTCCGGCTATAAGAGTAGGCATTCGCGATGTACAAGCATCCGACGATACCCGATGGCTCGGAGTACACCTTGATCGCGGTCTAACCTTCGAAAGCCACGTCGCAAAGTGGACCAGCAAAGCAATGCGGCTATTGCAACACTTCCGGCGACTCAGTGTACTCAGGGACCAAGACCCGACCTACTAACCACAGTGATCCACACGGTAGTCCTGCCAATCGCGATGCACGCAGCGGAATCCTG